TATGGGAGTGGAAGAACAAAGGAGAAAAAAGAATGTATTTTTGAGTAAGGTTTGTCCAATTTAGGCAAATATGAAGTAGGGCATATTGTAATAAGTGAATGATAGATTCAAAATCAAAATGAGTGTTATAACGATAATGACTTCTTTCTAAAGATGCACGACAAATCACTTCTAAATATAATATGAGTACTAGGTACATCAAGTAATCCATCAATGAAAATAAATTTTAGTTATTTTACTTATTAGTAAAAACAGTTTAAATTAATAAAAATCTAACCTTACAAAACAAAATATATATTTTAGTTAAAAAAAAAATAATCAATAAATTCCATTTCATATTATATCAAATAATGAAGAAAATTGCACATTTGCACAAGACCTAAAACTTAATTTTACTAATTGAAAATAGTTTTGTTGATTTATATATTACTTTTTTTAATACCCTTATAATTATCAATAAATAACATAACATAGATTGTTTCAAAAAAAAAAAAAAAATAACATAACATAGATGGATAAAATAAACACAATTTATCAATCATTTAAAATAGACGATTTTGATCTGTTCCTTTTCGTCTATGGCTTCTTCAATATATATCTTTCTCAATCAAATCATGAGTATGGCATTTTGGATTGAGGTTGGTGGTCCATCCACTAAGTACAATCATTAATCTGTTTGCAATCATTAATTTTGATCAAGTAGACACTTAAAGATATATAATCATTTGCCAACCATATTATATAGTACAATTTTGTACAAAGAGAGGATAATTACTCGATCGGATAAAGTCTGTGTATATGTATGAATCAGTCACCACTCACCATTATATTGAACCCACTAATCAAATACTCCGATCCCTACCTTTCATCATAAAGAATAACAATGGTCGTGGCTCTTTTGATATTAATTTTAAACTAGGTACATTTGTATTAGCTTAGTTAAAATACCACAATCAAGTGCATATGATATAGTATTTGAAATAATAATGTAAGAGACTTACCAACTATTGGCAACTACTAGTAATACGGAGTAACATCTAAAAGATAAGAGAACTTTAAGGTACCAAATGAACCTAAGCTAGACAAGAATGAAGTCTCATGTGGTACGGAGTATTAGTGTATAGAGTTTAGAATTATATTCAATCAATTAACCTATACTAATAGCAAATCTAAAATAACACTTGTCACGATGTTATTAATAATTTTCCCGCCCATTTTGCTTTCCGTTTACCCACAAATTTTTAAAGGAAAGTAAATTATAATAAGCCAAAACATCTTTTTTCCCATTAAAATTCTTAACAATAATAATTCTCCATATAAACCCAACTAATATATTCTTAACAATAATAATTCTCCATATAATTCTCCATTTTGTTTTTTTTTTTTTTTTTTTTTTTTTTTTTTTGTAAAATAAATGAATGATAATATTATTAAACAATACTACTCTATCGCCTCTATATATGTTCAAAAAAAAAAAAGACACACCAATATTACTCTATATTATCTTAGTTATTGTTAATACTATCAACTTTTTTTTTATTTATTCATTTTTTCTAATTTTGTACTTTTGCAATAATATTCAATTCAATAAAAAATAAAAACATTTTGTTAACACACATATACACTTTATTTTTTACTCTTAAAGTCGTATCAATAATAAAGCACATGCGCGGATACTATCCTCAGTTCTTTACTTTTTAAAATAAAACCTCACAGACCCCTTTAAAAAAATAAAATCAAGTCTAAGTGTTACTATTCTCAACATTGGTATACCTAGTTATGATTTTAAAGTTATATTTATTTTTGAATTAGTATTATGAGTATAATTTTTTATAAAATTCAATATAATAGCTCTTTATAAGATTTAATAATAACCGTGTATTGCACGGGAGTTAAACTAGTTAACTTTAAAAATGAGAAATCTTGGGTTCAAATATATTGATAATCAAACCTTTCATCTTCGTGGTTTTTAGGTTAAATATTTTAATGGTTGCAAATAATTTAAATCATATTGCATTATTGTTATTGTGTTTTGTACATATTTGAAGCTTTAGACAAAGGCTACATGCTATAATAATTCTTGGCATCTACTAAGACAATAACTAATTTTGACTTATACACACTTCTCAAAGTGACAAGTTCCATTACTTTAAGTATTCGACTAAAATTCCTTAGGGAGATCAACAAAAGGAGTTGAAATACAAAAGGTCCAATTTTATACTTTTTCTTTGGTACATACTCTATGACTCTTTAGGGTATATATACTCTTAAATGAAAGAGTAGAATTGAACCCCAAAGACCACAAAAACTCAATTTTAAATTCTAAATAACAGGAGTCGCTTCAATAAAAACACATAATAATAACAATAATTGAGTGCAATTTCATATTGATCTTATAATATAAGAGGAAATTTTATAAAAAAATAAATAAATCACCACATCCTTAGCTTAGCTTTAATTTATTTTTGATTAAAAATCACCAACAAACTGATATTTGGCTTAATTAATCATGCATGTGTTAGATTATGTAAATAATCTAGTGTATAATTAGTTTGTAATTTACTAATGTAACCTTAGCCCTAACCCTAGTATACATTTATATATATAATGATGTTTAATGAATGAGAAAGACACAACAAATATTCTCACATTCTCTCATGACATCACGAGTCTAGGTTTACAATTTACAAAACCCTAATTCTCTCTTCCGCTACTCTCTTCTTCAAAAATGTCATCGTAGTATAAAAATTGAACTCACTTACATATAATGTCACCGTATATACTCGTCTCATACACATGTATGGATTCCAATCAACACAAACCCATCCATACATAAGCATAAGCTAGAGCAAATAAGCAAATAAAAGTCAAACCCTCCACTTTTTTTATTTTTTTAAATTTATGATATTGAAAAATAGATTTATATACTCTCATTCTCACACTAGAATCTTGTATTCTCCACATAGAGAATCGTTAAAAGAACAAAAAGGGGAATTGAAGAATGAAAAGATGAAGCATTTAATATCTTTCCATTGTATGTGAATGACAAACCCTATAGCCGAGAAACATAGGAATAATAATATTTTTCAGTCAACCGTCTTTTATATTTTTATATAATTTATTTTTCATATTTTTGGGGTTAATTAAGGACTTATAAGGTGGTATGCCAAACATATCCGAATAAGCTAAATTGACAAGTGGGGTGGGGGGGCAACTACCCTTATCCATAAATTTATGGGGTCTGTGTCTTCATTAATATGTACATTTCTGCCCTTCTTTGCTTTTTTTTTTTTTTAGGTCTTGAACATGAATGAGTAAATGAGGAGGGACCATAACATATATAGTCAGGGATATGCATCTCATACCATGTTCATTCTTCTCCTAGACACATGGCTTAACTAATTGCTGCAAGTACTTGGGTTCGTTGTCCACTTGGCACTAGTCTATGCATCCACGTGTAATCCTGTTGTCGGTCATTGACTGCTATAATCATCTTTATAATTCATCATTAAATGTATGATTAAATTTATCTAATCTAAACTTATTAGAGTTGATTACAGCTGATCAATTCCAACTTCACCTTATATGTACATTTTTTTAATTTAGACATGATTTGGGTTAATGTTAATGATATAAATTAAATACACAATAAGAATTTGAGCTTATATATATCGTTCCCTACCAAAATTGACATCAGGTTATGTAAAATTTATATTCACAATGTTGTTCATCGATCATCTAAATCTTTATTTGTTACCGGCTTATTTCTTAGTTCTAATTTATATATTTCTAGGTATTCCTATAGTAGGTAATCGAATGTATAACAGATATGATGCTTTATTAATGTAAAGAAGACTTATGGTGGTGAATGTTTATGATTCCTTTAAAATTAATAAATTTATATAACTTCAAAGGAGTTTCAATTCTTGGAACTAATGTGTTTCTACTTTCTAGCTTAGACTTTGTATGTACTACGAGTACCTTTATGAAGATGTAATCAATAGATAATACACACGTAATTATCTTCTAAAAGATCGTTAGTTGTTAAAGGTGAATGAGGTAAGAAGTTGGTAGCATCAAACAAAACAAAAGTTACGAACTTGGTGCAAATTGTGTGGGAATGAAAACGAAATCATGTATTAAAATATATAAAATTAACCATATCATGAATCATGATGTATATAAATTAACATCGGAGTCACGCAGTCCCAAATTAAATTGAAAAAATAATGTAACATCGGAATTAGACATACCGTCCTTTTTCTGTTTTTCGCAAATATGATCTCATATTATAATACGATATCGTCAAAAAAAAATGAAAGAGTTGCTCATTTTAGTCTTTAAAAGTTAGCGCCATTAGATTATAGGAATATAGAATTAGGTTTATCTATTGTATTACTCTATTGATCTTATAAACAATAACAATACAATGAATAGTGTGATACGAGTATAACTCAATAAATATACATGGTGCACTGTGATCCTTAGAAACTGCTACTAGAATGCTAGGACCTATTCACTTTATTAAGTTAAGATAAGTTTAGTTCAATAAGTTTTAATAAGTTTAGTTCAATATATATATATATTTCATAATAGAAATAAAGCTACAATAGATAGTAATATTGACAAGATTTAATCATATCATATCCTACCATTCAAATAAGTTTCACAAATTTTATTACCTTATTATGTTTATATTATAAGATTACATCTTTTTCGATTATTTTAATCAAGAAAGATACTAACCCAGTAGAATACCAATCCAATAGGACACTCCTCCTTAGTGTCCTTACCAGTTATCACATAGGTAGCAACTCTGACACTCCATAGAAAACTCGATAGAAATAAAGTTACAATACATAGTAATATTGACCAGATTTGATCATATCATATCCTACCATTCAAAGAAGTTTCACAAATGAGTATTATCTACCTTGATTATGTTTATATTAGAAGACATCTTTTTCGATTACTATAATCAAGAAAGATACTAACCTAGTAAGATACCAATCCAATAGGACACTTCTTCTTATCAATTACTACATAGGTAGCAAGTTTGACACTCGATAGAAAATCCGTCAAAAAAATAAAAATTAGAGGCACATGGAGATTAGATTTGATTAGAGATGGGCAAAAAAGGAAAGAAAGTAAAAATCAGTTGGGAGGCTGCTTATGCTTATAAATACAAGGGGAGGCCGTTACAGTATTGTTACCCACATCGATCATCTGCAAAGTTTCACGTGCTTTTCCAAATTCATTATTTTCTCTCGTTCTTCCCCCTGTTTCCTCTGCTTACACCTCTATTCTTGTCGGTCCTAAGTAGTTTTTATAGTTGAGATTTCTTCATTCCTTTCATAAATACATCCTTACTCTGTTATATATAAATATAGTTATATCAGACTATCATCAATATTATTAATTTTCACTAAAAAAAAAAAAGCAATGGCAAAGAATTCATCATCCAAATCAAAATCAAAATCAAAATCCAAGCAAGTCGGCGGTTCGTCGTCTTCTTCCTCTGCTTCATCCTCCATTGCTGACCTTTTTGGCCCTAATCCTTCTTCTGCTACTTCTTCTTCTGCCAGCTTGTTTAACTCTGTTTTTGGACCTCCTTCTATGGTACTTCCTTCTTACTATTTTCTTTATTCTTGTGTTTAATTATGAATTAATTTTTTTGGGGGTACAATTATTTGTTATAATAATATGTCTTATGTTTAACATTGTTAAAGTTAGTGGCTTGTAGGGTTTAGCGGGTTAGCCCCTAATAATATCTTGTGCAACCGTTGTATATTTCTTGTAGTCCCCTTATCCGTGGTCGGGTTTTCATGTTAGGGTTATAATTATGAGAGAATTGCACCAAGTCGATTATTGTTTAGGAATTGAAATAAAAGGCATGCATGCAATGAATTAGAGCATCAAATTGGGATTGATTCATTATTTGGGGTTCTTTAGAATTAAGAATTTGATGAGTTTTCCAATGCAAAAGGTTTTACCTAAATATTGGCTTCTTCTTTTTTTTTTTTTTTTTTTTTTTTTTTTTTTTTTTTTTTTGATAAGAATATTGGCTTCTTCTATTTGCCCTTGCTTTTATCAAAATTTTGATTTATTAAATTTATTTTTTAAAGACTTTTTTGCATGCCTTTGTGATCTCACAAATTATAATTTGTTGCTACTTATTCTAGTTAATTTTGTCTTTTAATGCAAATTACACAAATTTTTCAATGATGGTGATGCTTTTTTTTTTTGTTTTGTTATTGAGATTTTGGGACCTTTGGCTAAGGTGAGAAGTGGGAAGAGACGTGGGCTATTAAGCCAGTGTTTAAAGAGTCCAAAATTATTTTCTTCAAATATTTTATTTAATTATTTTTATTGGGTTACATGAAAAAGTTGCCGACCTTTTTTGAAAGTTTATCTTCAAACTCTTAGCTTTCATATGATATGGAGTTTTCTTTTTTAAAAGGTTCCAACCTTTTTTTTTTTCTTTTCTATTCTGAGTTGGTAAAGAATCATTTAGGTGAGATTGGCTTACTTGGAGCGCTATTAGGTGAGATTGTCTCGTACTAATTTATTTTATCGTCTTTTCCTCAAAAATATAGAAAAAAAAAATCATTTTGATGATGAGTGTTATGTGTACATTATATATTGTGAGATCGTCTTAATGTCTTATACACAAGTTTGTCAAAGTTTTGATCTCTAGCTGTTAGTGACATGAGTAACAAGTACAAAGGTGGGTTCCTACTTTAGATGCTTGTTCTCTAGACCCACATGAAATGATAATGACTGATAATCTTTTTAATGGTTGATAATATACCTGAGATGAGTTGATCTCTAAAGAGATTGCTGAATCATTAGTCATTTCATAACATGTTTAATTAAGGAGATATATATAAAGAAAAGCACTAATAGAAAGATACATAGATTAGTATGAAGTACAAAGTTTTTCTAAATAGATTATCAGTTAATTATTTTACTTAACAAGAATAATATATTCATATGCATATTCCTAATGCATCCTTTTCCATCTAACAAATTAAAAATTTAAAACCTAGGATAATTAATTTTATGTACATGGTCCATGTGTGTACATGCTTTATAGTTTATACGCGTTAATCTGTTTAAAAACTCTCTTAATTCTTTAGCTTAATTTTATGTGATCTAATTTGATCTGATATTAGAAAGTAATCATAATCTAGTGTTCTCTTTTGCCTTTGGTAATTTTTGTAATATTTTACATGTACAACATTTCTTACATTTAAAATCGATTTTAATCTAGGGAGGAGGAAGAGACTCTACACACCATGTTGGGAATGCCAAGCATGGTTTTCCTGGTAATATTTATATTTCATTCGTCCTAAAATAATCTTTATCGTTAACAACTTGCAATCTGTAGACTCAAAATTTTAATTTGATGATCATATATTTCTCTAATTAATTAAACTTATTACTTATTCGCTTGATTGATTGGCCTATTATTGTATTCACAATCAAATTTAAGTGGTTTATTTATTAGTGTTTTTATGTTATTTGTACATCTTTTTCTTGTAGATAATAATGGAGCACCAGTAAGCAAAGCAGAGAGTAGCAAGTACTCTTATTATCAGCAAAAGAAAGTTGATCAGCCTTGCTACTATACGTCTTCAATCTACTATGGTGGCCAAGATGAAGTTTATTCTCCAACTACGCGCCCTGGTGAATCTCTTGTGAGTCCATTTACTCTTATTTTAAAAATACATGTTGTATAATATAGCATACTGTGTCGGAAATCTTAACACTCAATTTTACAGACAAATGATCCCGGAGTAGAGGAAGATCCTAAAAGTGCTTTAAGAGGAAATTGGTGGCAAGGTTCGGATTGTTTTATTTACTTCTGATTGATTTTCTTATACGTAGTTATAACATACTCCCTCCGTCTCTATGCAAGTTAACACAAGAGTGAATAACTGCTGAAAAGGGATATGAACTTAATTTGAGATGGACAAAATAATTGGTTTATGTTACCTCAGTAAGGGAACGGAGTGAGTATTTATCTTCAGTTTGGTAGTTCTGTTTATCGATTGTTTGTATTGATTAACCTTGTTTTGAATTTCAGGATCGGCCTATTATTAGCCGCCCCTTCAACAAGAGTTAGCTGCCCCTCTTGGAATCTAAGGTACATTTGCAAGTTTTGAAGTAGTAAATACTTTTCTAAATGATAAAAGATATGGTCATAAGATTCACATTATTATTTCAAAATTAGATGTTTATGGTAGTAGACTTATAATTCTTTCTAGAAACAGTTTTATGCAGATTAGAAAAAGAGAAACTCATATTTTTCATACAGTTGGATTCGTTACGTAATCTAATGCATAAGCAAAGAAGCAAAGCATACAACAACTTGTCTAGAATCTGCATGGCATACATTATGCATATATGTTCTAAGTGAATATGAGCAAGAATCTACACATTATTATCAAATTTTTCAACTTATTCTATATTCTGTTGCATTATTTATTCCTTGGGTTAATTTCAATTTGTCCCTAGCAATTTGACTTTCGCTAATGCTAAAAATGTTCGCTTTATACTGTTTTGTTGCAGGGATATGGGGGGGACTGGCTCTTGATAGCTATCTTCACAAGTTATGACTTCTAGTAGAAGAGAATATACCATATAAGTTGAGAAAAACAGCTTTTAATTTTACTAGTCTTAGATCAGCTAAGGCCTGAATCAAGTTGCTGGGGTTTGTTTTTGCTCCCGGCTTCTTTGGAGGGAGGGCTTAGCTTAGCTTATTAGCTTTTTAATTTCCTAGGATCAGCTTTGTCTGACGACGTATAGTATAGTTCAGTTTTAATGCTTATAGTATATGACTATGAACTCCTCCTCTGTACACAGATCGAGTTGTTAACTGCCTCAATATACCCTAATGTCAATTTCGCTTGGTAAAGGTTTTTGCTTTAATGTTGTGTTTGCTTAAATTTCCGGTGGCTTTCTCTAGTCGTTGGGTGCCTGGAAAGGGTAAAAGAAACATGTTGCTGGTATCCAGACGATAAATGATCTCTAATGGAATTCTCGGTAATACACAAGTCTAGAACCTAGATGTTGTTCTTGCCTTCTACCACAGAAAAAGAATCAAGAAATCTTCTAGGATTCTCACGTTATTTGGTTTCTTTTCCAGAAGCTGATCAAAACTCGCTTTCTGGAATAGCAAGTTGCTTGTGTTTTGTTTCGCTATGTTATTACAAATCCTTAATCCATATTCTTATTTGAACGTCCATTCTTATTAAAAAGCGTTTTAATGTAGTTGCATAATGAGAAAATTAGTAAATTACTCCTAGCTGAACTATACTTCATACCGTACTAAGCAATATACATACCTTGTGGGTTTGATGACATTAAAGGATGGGAAAAGTTGTTCTAATTTACTTTGTGAAAGACTCAAAAAGTCAAAAGCACTGAACTGAAAACAAATCATTTATTCATATTGATGAGGTTGTATTACATCTGTTATTAGAAAAGCTAAATACAGATGCAAACTTCCAGGTCCATGTCCAATTCTTATTCACAGAAAGATCGTGATACAGTAAGATGAGTTCTTCAATTTGCACTCTTCAAGGCAATGTGTAAGCTGCAATGCAAAAGAGAAACATGTCAGTCAGACATCAGTATATGAACAGCCATAGAAGATGGTGACAATGGTAATAGCATAAAAAAAATAATAATAAAATAAAAAAAAATAATCAAATAAATTATAGCATCGTTCAAACTCACCGCCACACTTGTAACCAACAGGACGATCAACAATGTTGCATCGCTTAGGGATTGTGACAGCAATCTCAGCTTTGACTCCTGCACTTTTGGCAGTGTGGGAGAGCATAACAGCACAGAGGCAGCTTGGGTTTCGACCCAACTGTTTAATCCTAGCGCAGCAGCTGTCTGAAACCGGGGCATTCTCATCCTCGGATGCCTCAGCACAGGGAGCAAGTTTAAATGCCTCTCTCTCTGGGGATGCTCTCCCACACTCACCAGCAGCATTCACCCCATGAAGCTGTGCACCGCAGACAAGAACAAGGAAAACAGACAGGATAATGTGCTTCATTTTCAAAGATATTGTTGCTTCAATTTTTACTGAGATTAAGTTGTGTATGTCAGATGATCAGTCACTTGAGCATTTATATAGGGGGAGGAGGGAGTCGAGATTAGTAAGAATTGAGATATGATAATGTCCTCCATTATATAGTGGAGGAGGCATTATAAGAGCACTGACTAACTAATCTAGGATAGAAAAACATAGTGCAGCACTTTCGGCTCAAAAAAAATTATTTCATAAGGTGATGTGGCTCAAACTTTCAGGGTAATTTTAGTACAGCAAATGCTAATGCTATCATACAGGGTTTCACTACTGCATACACCACTTTCTAGAAAATCTTTCCCTTATGTAATTCACACACCTAACCCTCCCACCCGGCTACCCCCAACGTAACGAAACACCATCAAAACCAATAGCATCCTAGTATTTATCAGACTTGAAATCTAGCAGCTTAGCATTTACTTGTAGTTTAGATAAATAAAAAAATAGCAGTGATCAAACTGTAAGGGAATACTTACATTTATGCAAGAGTAAGGGATATAATGTTCATTCAAGTCGTGCCTGTAATTCTGTTTTTCAGTCTTATACCAGCTACTTATAAGTCAGCTGATAAAGTTTCTAAGTTTAGGTTGTTTTCTTAACTTGAAGTTCATATGTTTCAATTTCCATTGAATACAGAAAACATTTGAGCTATGAAAATCAGCAGTGATGATTTTGAACTTTTGATAGATTGCTACACGAAATTCAAACAACAATACTCCCTTCATCCCACTAAAAATGACCCTTACAGAATGGAAAGACTATGTGCAACAAGCTATGATAAAAATTCAACAACTGCTTAGCAATTGTAACCCTGATTTTCGGTTCGGTTTCGGTTCCTAAATCATCATCCCAATAACGCAACAATCAATCGTAACATTTCAAAAAATTTCAAGTATCAATTCAATTCATCAAAAACAGCCCATTTGCCATTATGATCAAATCAACAACTTCCCATTCAATATTTTACAAAGTTGTTCAAGAATCAAATTACAAAGTAACAATAAAGAGCTAACGAGTAAAGGCATAAAGAACAAAGGCAATGTAAATAAGAAGAGCAGAAGGAACCAAAATAACAAGAGGAACAACAGCAGCATAAGTATGAGAACTCCCACAAGACAAACTACCAAGCTTAATCTGAGCAACATTAATCAAAGCCAACATCAGAAATGCACACCCAGAAACAGATCCAACAGCAGAAACAAGCATCCCGACCCGAAGGCCCGAAGTATGAACAAAGGCCCGGTAAGAGTCGTAATGGGCCGAGATTCGGAAGGCCTGTTTAAGGCCCAAAGCGACGAGACTAGAGAAGAGGAAAGAAGCGAAGGAGTAGACGTGAAAAGCGACGATGTTTTCAGCGATAGAAGTGTTGTAAGAAGTACAAGATGGGTCAGTGATGAGGGTGTTTGATGGGTCGTTTGGGTTCCATGAAAGGCCGATGAAGACGGCGAGGGTGAAGATGGAGTTAACGTGAATGATGCCGTCTAGTGCGGTGATGTGTATGGCGGTTCCTAAGGGTTTGTGGTGGTGGGTCGACATTGTTTTCTAAGTGGTAGATCTAGTAGGTGGACTGTAGTGGGGGAGTTGGGGAGGAGTGTTACACTATTGGTCCAAAGCTAAAGAAGTGTTCCTACTTCCTAGTTCTTACCAAAAGGAAAAAGTGTAGCGCCATTGGGTGATGCAAGTCACCAACGGGTCGGATTTTGATCGGACCTTGATTTTATGAAGCCGATATTATTACATTATGTTATTGAGGTGTATTTGAAACAAACCTATATTCTGATTGGACTAATAGAGTAATACACCCTCCATCTATTTCTAATTATTTTTCCAATTGTAAATATTTGAGTTAAACTCAAAAAAATTGACGAGGTTGAATTTTTTACATTGAAAAACATAATTCAAAAAACTTGATCAACTAACAAAAGGAGGAAGTATAAGTAATTAATCAAAAAATAGCTAATTCGTAACCAAATATGCTTTGTACTTATATTACTATGCATTTACAAAGGTAAAATCAAGTGTTTGCTTAAAAAAAATGAAGTATAAGTGTAAGTGTATGCTTTGTACTCATATTACTATGCATTTACAAAAGACTTTTAGTGTTTATTTTTCTTGTATTTGGATCTATTCGGGTCATTGGGTGTAACATAGTGATAAACTAGAACAATTGATATTGACATTCCTCGTAAAAGTACACAAAATATTGTGGAAGTATCCAAATTGTTTCCCAATGCGAAGAATTATCAAGAAGTCTAGTAAAGAAAGGGTCAAAGTGAAATAAACCGTCGCCAAAGGTGGTGATCTGGTTATTTTGGTGGAGAAGAGTGAACTGTCTACGGTGGAGGAGTGGTGGTTTTATGGGTGGGGAACTGGGTGGAGGAGTGAATGGTCCAAAAAAGTGTCAATGACTCAAATTAAAGTGATCAAAATCAAAGAAGTGTGTGGGGTCTACTGCTCTTTTATTAATGAAATAATACAGGCATTTGGTCTCAAGGTATGATTCATTGATTCTTGTTTTAGGTGCAAAGAAACCCCAAGTTGGAATCTTAATTTTGTTTCCAAAATTGACATCCTCCCTCATTGATTTTCTCAACATCATCTACGTGCCTAGAACGCTGTAACATTGACTTCCTCGTATGTTCTCTGACAATATGTACCTTCTTACAACTGTATAGATATTGTTCCTATCTGAACCACCAATCTCGAACATCCATGATTTCTGCTTAATCATCTCCATTTTGGTCATCGCGGTTTTTTATAATCATAACATGTATTCACATTCATGTTAGCCAACCCCAAATCATTTTGGGACTAAGGCTTTTGTTGTTGTTGTTGTATATATGAACAAGGTTTTAGCATGCGTTTTATGAATACAAGATTTAAATGTGAATACAGGCAAGAATTTGGCAATGATCAATGCCTAAGCATCTTTATATTCTCAATATGAAATCTACATAGATACACATATTTTGGACAAATAATTCAATAAACAAAGGAACTACAAACAAGCTTAGTACAGTATCCTAAAACCAATCCAAAGAAACAAAAAATCCTTCATGTGTCAGTAAATGAGCAACCTCTGTTGAGGTGGAGATTTCATCGAAATCTGCTAGGCTTCTGATGGGTTATTGATACTCTCTGAGGATCAATGTTCTCTGAATCATCGCGAGATGATGCAGGTGAGCCTGAGCCAATGCTTGACTTTGTTGTAGCAGGAGGGCCTTCTATTTGGTTTATACTGTTCTTAGCCTTCAACTCACCACCTAGGTAGTTAGTGAGTGCTCTCTTAACCCCAATACCGCGCTTGGAAGGCTTACTAGTAATCTCACGGTTGACATAAGGAGTTCTGTCTACTCCTCTAGCTGGACTAATTAACGGGCCAGGTGAGAAGCTTGGAGTGGTTAGTGATGACCCATAAGGTGTGCGCGAGGGAGGCACTGAATGTGGTAGAGATACCTTCTTGTGAGCCATGACACTCACATTAGGTGCTGAGGATAACTTAGCAGTATGTTTGGTTAAGTCATCAACATATAGTAGATCATCAATGCGCGCCACAATGTTAAAGGCCAAGCTCTCTAGAACTCTCGAGTAGCTTTCTAGAATGGATTTTCCTATGTCCTGCAGCAAGGAATTTGAATTAAGAACCAAGGAGAAAAATTAATGCAATATGTACACAAGTAAAAGGAATTCGAAATTTACCTTGTTGTACTGAATTTTACTGGTGTCTAGAGAAGTTTGAGTGAGGCCAGGGAACCGTTGCTTCAAGCTTAGCAGCAACCTTTCAGCTCTTTCGGCGAGGAGCTCTCTCTTATCTCCTCCATCAACCATTAAATCTCTGACCATCCCCCACGACGATTTTGTGGTGGTACGGTTGGGATTAGTAACAGGTTTTGGATGGTGTCTTCGCCGCCAGACATATATGGCGGCTTCAACACGATTTGCTATCTCAAGAGCAACATGCTCAGATGACAGGTCAAGGCAATCAAGCAAGCACTCGGGAGAGAAGTGATCAGATGTGATGTACCGATATATCATGTCTCCTAGGCAAGCTCTTCCATTCTGAAAAAATCAGAAAACATTGCAAAACATCAGACTTCAGCAATAATAAGTCATAATAACCTAGGTTGATATACAATGAGACAGTTCAAGATTTTAGACCTTTGGAAGGGTTTCTAAGTAGGACTCAGGAACATCCATTTCGGCTAAAACCATGCTGTTGATAGACATGGCTGCTTTGAGTATTTGGTGGGTGCATTCGCGCTTGTGATCAAGCTGTTTCCTAGAATTCTCCTGCAAGCCACCAGCCGGTACCCGAGGTACTGGTAACCACCACTTCTCCTCTTGCCTGTGTAATGTCTTTCGAAAAGAGGATGAGCCATCACAATCTGAGGCTACGATTCCTTGATCGACATACCAAAACTCAGTCTTGCAGAAATTGTTGAGTATATCCTGATTACCGCGAAAACATAAAATAGTTGAGCTATATAGGAAGCCACTGATGATGTACCATGAAGTAAAGCAGAATTGAAATCTTACAATGAGCATATTATCAAGCTTGCGAAGGGCAGGAAGATTTATAAATATATCTGTCCGAGGTCTGCAAGTCATAACCTGATAAGTGTAGCAGCAAATGTGTAAGAAGATGACTATTCTTTAAAATATATATATATATATATATATATGAAATGAGACTTTGGACACACCCAATTAGTCCACAATTGGATATATTTTATGTATCCTCACACTGTCCTTTTTCTTCCAGATTTAAAGATCAAATACTTCAAAATTTCAAAGAAATTGTAACATTTTCTTAATGTGCATATTTCCATCTTATGACACTGTTTCATCTACTAAAAACATTCCTATGCTCAATACATCAATTAAAAAAGAAAAATTGAAGGAATAGAGTACCTCTAATTTTTTTCCATCAGGAAAAGTCTGCCAAGTTGGTATCAACTCAACAATGTGATCACCAACACAAAGCAGCCATTCCATCTCTCTTCGCCACATCGATTTCTTCTCAACAGGCAACGGCTCTAGCCTCCATAATTGCCCGAATATTGTAGCTAAAAACCCATTATTCAAACTAAATCAGACATTTAAAACAAACAATTCAAACACTGAATTTTAAAATAGAAGGTTAAGAATTAAGAGTAATACCACATAAATTAGTAATGGCATTAGAAACAGCTAAAGCAGTGGAAACCCCTTTTCCACTTCCTGACATATCTTCTCCAAGTAATAGCTTTGCAAACCTCTCTTTCATCATCTCCATCTCTGAAACATTTCAACAAACAGTTTAAATACAACATTAATTTAACTTCAAAAAATCATATAATCAGCCAAATTAAAGCACAAAACTAACCAGAGAGGTTTAAATTATGCTTTTTAAGCTCAGAGTCATCAGCTAAAACGGGCTTTTGTGACCCAGAAACAGTGGGTTTGGGAATTGCAGCTTTTTTAATCGGCCAACCTAAAAGAGGAGGTGAAACAGAGGATTTCTTTCCTGAATTAGTAACTGCTTCAGAGCTTGGTCTACTATCAGAGCTACTCTCCCTGCTTCTTCTACGCTCAGCACTTGACTCAGTGATTGACTCGATTGACTCAGTTAAGTCTAACCCAACATCTTTCCTAAACGAGGCTTCCATCATCAAAAAGCTTCGATCTTTGGAATTCCCAGATCAAAATTAAGGGAAATTTTCAAGCAAAATTTGAAACCCAGAAAATAAAGTTTAAACCTTGAACAAACATTTGAGTTTTTGAATGGGGGGAAGATTGAATAATATGAGAAGCTTTTTTATTAAACTGAAATTTTTTTGTAAAGGAAGAAAATAGTGGGCCTAAAAATTTGATCTTTATTAAGATTCTTTTATTTACTCTCTCTTTTGTAATTGTGAAATTTGATTTGAAGATGAATGAGTTGGGGATGTAGTAACTGTCAAAAACTTAAAATGGTGGTTTGATGGTGAGATCTTCCAACGTCTCTTAACTCTTTCACTGTATTTTTCTCTCACTTCCCACCTTTATCTACAATTCAAATTAATAATAAAATATTGGGGAGTGGTTGAAATGGTCTTATGATATTGGCACTTTGTTGAACGGCTATGAACGGCTATATAAGTATATAGGAATTACGGAGTAGAAAATGCATGTCTTTGCCTTTTTGCCTACGTGATTTTTATTTACCAATATACCCTTTGTAGTTTTTTTTTATTTTTTATTTTTGGGTAATGATATATGTAGCTCTTAAATTTTGATTGTGTTGCCTCTAAGTTAAGATACTCCATGATGATTGACTTAGGTGAAGTAGCATTAAATACGAGGCTGAAAAAATCATGGGCATGTAAGAAAATCTTGGTTCGTCATTGATTGAGTCTGTTTGGTCAACTGAAACCAATATTCATGGAAAAATGTCAACCTATCAAGTTATGAAGTATGAAGGCTCCAAAGAGAGAGTTGCCTGTGAATCCCACATTTATGAGAATTTAAGTCTACGCTCTTCTTTAAACGTAGTCACAAGCTCACTGCTCTACTTTGAAGGCAGCCAACAAGGGCATTTTCGGAAGTATAATTTTAATATGATGGTAAAGAAAAAGGCACTACATGTTTTGAAGTTAACACAAAAAAAAAAGATACACTCTTTATTGATAGTGATGAAGATTAACGGCCTTGATTCTAAATTAATGTTGAAATTCAAGCTATTGCTTGTCATTTACTTGATTTATCCAGACCTTGTCATTTACTTTTGGAGACAATATGCTAATGCTTGATGGGGTAAATTAATGTAATACTCCCTCTGTTTTTTTTTTTTTGTTTTTTTATTATTATTTGCATCAGTTTGACCCATATATTTATCGAGACGCAACTTTGGTCATTAATATCTTTAATCGTTAATTAGTAAAAATTATATTATGAAACTAGACATTATGACGAATCTAATGATATTTTATATAAAGTCAAGTCATTTATTTGGTAGCCGTTTATATCAACATATAAATCGGTCAAACTATAACATGATTATAACAAAATTATATTATGACTAGACATTTATTTATTTTATAGAGGTAAAAAAGTTAAGTCAACTATAATATGTGAATAGACATTTATTTATTTGGTAGCCGTTTATAAACTAGATTTATATGTTCACATATTATAATTATATTATGACTAAACATTTATTTATTTTATAGAGGTAAAAAAGTTAAGTAAACTATAATATGTGAATAGTGAAAAATCAAAGTGATGCATTTTTTTAAAAAAAAAATATGATGAGCTAAGCTAATTTGGTAGCCGTTTTAGGTTTCTTGAACGGATAATACGGAGTAGCCGTTTTGCGTCGTACAACAAAGTCACAAACAATTGACATTTTGATTTTTGAAGATGGAATCAAGTGAAAGTTCACTTTTTATTCAAAGTTCACAAGCCAGAAGCTCAAAATTCAACCTTTTTACTACCCAATGAACCATTTTAAACTAAAGGTATCAACATAACCGATGATAATTTGGCACAAACTTTAAATCAAAAGCTAGTGCACTACTCGATGTAAGTGACAAATTGTTGCATGCCTCCAAAGCTGCAATGAAAATGGGGTAAGAATAGAAAGTTGATCATATACCTTATTGTTCTTGTCCTTTATTTCAAATTTATTCTCCTCCAACATTAAGCATTGGTGTATAAATATGATGGACTTGACTTGCTACACTTAGAGATTGATTTGTGGATAAGAAGATTTAAATAATAGTTAGGTTTTAATAATTGCTTCAAATCCTAACTAAGTTCAATTATCATTTGGGTACATTGGTTTTATCAAGGCAATAATTAATTATTGTTGCCTACATATATACTCTTATTTAGCTATATTGGAGATTTGGAGTAAATTAAAGTTGGTGATATAAACAACCATCTAATGCTTCAATATCAATACAATGATATTATTCCTAAATAGCTACATAATTGAATCAAATTCATTCTCATTTATGGTCCCAACTTAACTTGACCATGACGGACAACTCATGCATTTACTTTGGAAAAAATTCCCAAAATTGATCCGTAATCATGGATTATAACCTTTTAGTTGTGGACAATTTTCAAGTCTTAAAAGCAAAGACTTCAAGACGCCCCTCGTACACAATAAGACACCCTGGGAGGCCATTCGGAAGGTTATTATAAGTTATAACCATCCACTTACCATCCACTTTGCCTGCTAATGGTCAATTTAATAGTTAATGTATATATCTTTATTCATAAACTAAAGGCAACAACATGTCTTTATGTGATCGCCAAGTGGCAATATATGGTTCCGAACAATATTACTACGTATAAGGTTTGTTAATGGTCAATTTAAGTTAGCGTTAGTGTATATCCCCTATCAATGTGGGATTTCATTACCACTACACTCCCTCTTTTAGTGTTTAGTGTTTTTTAGTGTGGGACAAGAAGAATGCTCACATGTGGGTTGTTCATGGGCTCAACACTCCTCCTCACATGTGAGCTGTCCATAGTGTTTGGCCCAGTATACCTTAGCCATTAAGGCCCCAATCGTGAGATCGTGAACCTGGCTCTGATACCATGATAAACGCGGGCCTGGGCCGCACCCGCAAACCAAGAGAGAGAGAGTCCACTTCACAAGTCCAAAGGAGGTTCCATCCCAAAACCATATGGCAGTAGGAGGAGTAGCCCCTTAGCCTTATAAAGTGTTTAATTCTCTCTTCTTCAACCAATGTGGGACACTTACATGTGGTGATACTTGAGAGCTTTATTCTTCAACAGTTTTTGACGACATCGGGTCCTAAATACTCTAAAAAAAATGATCCAATTTTGTGTATATAGCCTTGAATTTGGCTTCAAGTGAACCTTTTTTTTTTTTTTTTTTTACTTTGCTAAAATTATACATTAGGGTGATTTGCGGGTCTCATAGGGTCTTAGTGTAAACCTTAACTATATTATAATATAATAAAACCTCACATTTGTTTTCGATAATAATAGTAAAATGAATACCTATTCTTATAAAATTAATTTTGGGATTGAAAGAGTAAGGGTCTGTTCTGATACGATTATTTTTAGTTCGGTTTAGCTCTAATAAGTTCAGTTCAACTCTAATAAATTTAGTTTAGTTTATTTCAGTCCAATTCAGCTCTAATAAGTTCAATTCAGTTCAGTTCAGCTTCTAATTTCCTTCTCTTATAAAATATTCATTTCAGTTCAGTTCGGCTCTAATAAGTTCAGTTCAGTTCAGCTCTAATAAATTAATTTTAGTTCAGTTCAGCTCTAATAATTTAATTTTAGTTCAGTTCAATCAATCAATATATATATATATATATATATATATATATATATATATATATATATATATATAGGGGAGGGATCCGGTAAGAACCCCTCCTTATATAAGAACCTAGTATATATAAGAACCAATCTAATCCGTAGGATTAGATTGTAATAGACGCTCCAGATTAAAGGAATGTTAGTAATGGCATTATAGTAAATATGAAAACAGACCACCACCATATATAAACCCCAAATTTTCTCTCTCCTCAACCATAACCCACACTTTATAAAGTTTCTACTTACTACCTCACTCTCTCTCCTAAAACCCCCAAATTCTCTCCAAAAATCACGAAATTCTGATTTGATTTTTGTGATTTTTCTGATTTTAGCATGATTTCAAGATTTTTTATTTTTCTCATTTGATTTTCATTAATTTTCGGCGATTTTAGTGTTCAAATTTCAGTGATTTTAGGGCTGGAATTTTCAGCGGAGTTAGGGTTCGAATTTTAGCAATTTTAGTGTTCGAATTTCAGCGATATTAGGTAATTTCAGCACTACTTGATTATTTCTTGTTTGTTTTTTTTTTGCTGCGATTCTTTTTGGTTTTTTTGGCTTCATTTTAGTAGTATTTCGATTATATTGCTACCTCTGTATTCAATCTTTTATTGAATAGTCTATGTTTTCAGTTTTTTTGATGACTTATTGTATGTCTATTATGTTTTGCAACTAATTATGTAATTTCGGAATTTCTAAATGAATTAATTGACTTTTGTGAATTGTAAATTAGCTTAGGATGTTCTAAACTCTATCTCATAATGTTCTAAACTCTTTTTCATTATGTTCTAAGTTAGTGATACCTCTTATTGCGTTCTTAATTGTTAGTGATATCATTGGTTGGTTGGCCTTTAGATGGATGAATTAGTGCTTTCGTTAGATTGATTGATTGACATATATTATCTTTGAGGGAAAACTTGGGGACTGAGGAGAAAGAGAGAGGGAAGGAGGGGTGGGAGGATTATGCTGGCTAGCTGGGCATTATTAATGAGTTCAAAGGCTTAAAATAGGTGGATGAACTTATAGTCTTATACCATGCTTATGAGTTATGAATTTATGATGTTGCAAACTTAACTGTCTCAAGATGAATTGTAGATGCCTGGCAAGTTAGGATGGTTTTGTATACATGATGGGGGCAATTTAACTTGATACAATGTGGCCATATCAATGCCAATGTAGCTTTCTAGTATGATAATTATCGATTTTAAAGTAGAAGTAGCTGCTGTCAAAATTAGTGGAGTATTGGGTGGGGCCCCTTTGGTTTGAGAAATTGTAAAATGTGAAGGGAGGAACACAGGCAAAGGTTTAGAACATAGGAAAAATAGTTTAATTTAGAACATGAGAGAAAATTTTAGAACATAGGCAAAAAAATTTAGAACATAAAAAAAGGTTTAGAACATAAGAAAGATAGTTTCGAACATGAGAGAAAATTTTAGAACATAGGCAAAAAAAAATTAGAACATAAGAAAGGGTTTAGAACGAACATAGGTAAAATAATTTAGAATATGAGAGAAAAATTTAGAACATAGGCAAAAAAATTTAGAACATAAGAAAAGGTTTAGAACATAGAAAGATAGTTTAGAGCATGAGAGAAAATTTCACAAGAAAAATTTTAGAACATAAGAAAAGGTTTAGAACATAGAAAGATACTTTAGAACACAAGAAAAAAATTAGAACATAGGGTAAATAATTTAGAACATTAGAAAACTAATTTAGAACATAAGGAGATTACTTTTACTGATTTAGAACATAGGCAGAAAACTTTACTGCTAGTGAGGGATGTGGATTGGAGATGCGGTGTAGGATAAGAGAGGGAGTGGTGAAGGTTAAGTGGCTGAGCAGCAGGGTAGAACATAGGTAAAAGAGTGGTGAAGGAGCAAATGTTTTGAACATAGGAAAAAATTTAAAGCACATGTTTAGAACATAGGTAAAACAAAATTTTAGAACACAGGCTTTAAAAAATTTAAAACATAGAAAAAAAATTAGAGTACAGGTTTAGATTATAGGAAAAAATTTAAAGCACATGTTTTAAATACAGGAAAACATTTAGAACATAGACAATAAATTAATTTAGAACATTGAAAATTTAGAGCACTAGTTTAGAACATAGGCAGTAGGAAATTTAGAACATAGGAAAAATAATTAGATCATAGACAAAAGAATTTAGAACATAGGAAAATAAACTTTAGAACATAGGTAGAAAAAAT